ATATGAAGACTTTTCTTTCTCTCTTTCTTTTTCTTTTTCCGTTTTTTTTTTTTTTCCTGTCATGTGCTCTGCTTCAGTTAATCTTCCTGCTTGGCACATGAGGTCAATCATACAATCATAGTGTTCTTTTGAAGGACTTATTTGGTACCCTTTGCTCATTGAATTGAAGTAGTTAAAACCAAGTTCAACTAGTCTAGCATGACTACAAGCAGTAAGAGCACCAATGAAGGTCACGGGGTCAGGTTTCAGACCAACCGTGGGAAGCTTCTCAAACAACTCAGTGGCTTCATAGCTAAAACTATGTTCCACATACCCATTAATCATGGCTGTCCATGACATGATATCATTATACTGTCTCATCAAATATTTTTTAAGCTTCTTTTATACTCCCACATTTTGAGTACACATTGTTCAAAATAAATTAACTTTCCCTTCATTTTCCTCCCTTTCCTTTTTTTTTTTTTTGTCCCTTTAAACCAAATAGGTTAGAAAAGATTTACCTTTTTTTTTTTGTTTCAACAGACGCTTTTTATTTAAAAATTTATCCTAGAATAATAGTTATTTTTTTATATTTTAAGAGATACAAATTTTTTTTCCTTCTCTATTTTTATCATTATTTCTTGATTTTAATTATCTATCCTATCATAAAAAAAATTTTTATTTTTATTTTTTTAAGGGTAAAATAAGTAAAAGTAAAAATTGTCTCCAAATTCTTATTCTAAAGATAAAATCAAAAAATGTTTGTTATTTCAAAACGGAGGCAATAATAAAATTCCTCTTGAATTTCTTAAAATCAAAAGAAAAAAGAAAAAAAACTCAGAAAGATAAAGAATTTAACCAATTTTCATTTTAATTTTTTTAAAAACATCAATGTACTATACTCCACCGTCCCAAAATAATAGATGTTTTTCTATTTTATCTCTAAATTAAGAATTTAAAACAATTTCTATTCTTACTTATTTTATCTTAAAAAACAAACAATTATTTTAATAAAAAACATAAAATTAAAATTGAGAGAAAATCATAAGGTTAAAATAGAAAAAAAACTATTTATCCCCCTTAAATAGGAAAAAATAACTATTATCTTGAAATAAATTTTAATTATTCTGAAATAGAAAAACTAAAAAAAAAAAATGACAACTTGGCCGACAATATTAATGTTTCTTTGGTAGATACAACCCTATTCTTTGGCATGCATGATCTTTGGCCCAGCTTAGGAAAACTTGACGAATAAGTGAAAGACACAGACTGGCGACTGGCATGAAAACTTTGCATTTTTTAAAAGATGCATGAATGAGACATAGAGACTTTAAATTTTACAAGTCTTTAGAAAAAAAAAAATGATATATCTTTAAAAAAATGTTTACCAACCAAACTACAAATACATAAAATGAAAGCGGTACATGAACTACAGGGCATTAATTCGCTTAAACCTTAGTAGAAATCATCTTTGTACTCCTCTATTATTTGATGTTCATGTTTTTATGATCTCTGCCCAGTTTAACAAAATCAAATGTTGGCAAATTAGTGAAAGGCAGAGACAGTGACATGAAGACCGATTTTTTTTTTTTAATAAATGATGTATGAGTGTGCGGCATGAAGATTTTGAACTGTACAGGTCTTCAAATAAAAGAGAAAAAAAAAGAAAAGAAGATATTTAAAAAAAAATAAAAATTAAAAGCCTTTACCAACCAAACCTACAAATAGATAACGTGATGAAAGTGGTACATGAACCACACGACAATAGTTGGATTAAATCTTA